TTCATAGAATTGATACAAAAATTAAAATTAGATATCTTGCCACCAACAAAAAAGGAAGGAATTACGTACCCACGTAAGTTTATAGTCTTACAATTATTTACGCAGTTCCTAAGGTTCCCAAAATTAATGATATTTATAGACTCAAGGTATGTAATTGACTAATTTCATTTTATTCAGCTTCTTTATTCACAAAATTAAGAAAAAGTATAGTTTCACCACTCTTATTCCGGTAAAAAAAAAATATTTAAAGAATTACAGACGGAATGAAAGATTAGTTAGGGATCTCGGCTATTATTTGATATGTGTATAAATAAATGAGTTTGAAATTCAAGCTTTAAATATTTTAATTTTACACAAGAACTTTGTATTGGATATGTTGATGACACTTTTGTGATATGGCCACATGGTAAAAAGAGTTTAATAAAATTGGCTAGTTATCTAAATAGTTTAGCGGCTTCAATGAATTTACTTATGAGGTAGACGAAAATGATAGTTTTCCTTTCTTTAGACGTATCGGTTGAAGACAAAAATGAGCAAAAGCTACAGACTACATTTTATCGCAAACCTTTCTCTGTGATCACGTCAATAATCGTGTAATAAGAAAGCTAAAAAGTGTCAGCTTTTTATTTTAATGTGTAGAGAGTTTTAAAATTGTCTTACAAAACAAGAATTAGGTAATGAAATATTATTGTTGAATAACGTAGTCTCATTAATAGAACATTTAAGAAATTTATGAAATACGCTTTTGATAATAGCTTGTTTGTTTCTTTTAATTTCGCGCAAAGCTACACGAGGGCTATCTGCGCTAACCGTCTCCAATTTAGCAGTGTAAGACTAGAGGGAAGGCAGCTAGTCATCACCACCCACCGCCAACTCTTGGGCTACTCTTTTACCAACGAACAGTGAGATTGACCGTCACATTATAACGCCCCCACGGCTGAAAGGGCGAGCATGTTTTTGCGAATCGAGTGCCCTAACCATCTGGCCATGCTGGGCACTTGATAATAGCAATTTGATAAAAGTATTTGAGAAAGCTTAAAAAGAAGGATTAATTTTGTCCTACGTACCTGGTTTATTTTGTAAATTTTATAATATTTCTTTGATCCTAAATTTCTTTGACATTGATATATATATATATATATATAAAGAAGAAAGAGGTATGGTTGTGAACAACAGATTAGCCATTTGTTCTTGACATTACATTTAGATAATCTCAAAAGGATTAATTGTTAAATAAATCACACTTTCAAGACTTCTTCTTTAGGATTTCCCAGTAATAAGCTTCGTCTTGAATCTTTCCAGCTGGCTTCCTTGAGGCAATCTAACTCTGGTTTTATGAATATTTCCTTTGCTAGTCCTCGTTGACTGACTTGAAGTTTTACTCATAAATATTTTAACGCTTACTAACTTAAGAAGCTTTTCTTTATTACTGATTATGATTAAGTTGTTGGTTACATGAGTCATGAAATCAGATAATGATTCCCAACGAATATTCCAGAACATTAATACTATACAGCACTAATTAATTTAGTAGGTTGATGTTTAACTTCCAACGTTTAGACGAACTATTGTTATTGTTGTTGTTTATTAAGCACAAAGCTACACAAAGGGCTATCTGTGCTCTGCCCACCACGGGTATCGAAACCCGGTTTCTAGCAGTATAGGTCCACAGACATACCGCTGTGCCACTGGGGGGGGGGGCTTCTTAAAATTAATTCAAATGATATAGAAATACAGTTCAATTTTTGTAAGTGAATAGAAAGAATAAAAACAATGATACAAAATTAAGATACCTCATTTTATATTTTGACAATACAGAATTCGGTGACTTATTTAATAAAAAACAAAGTAAAATAATCCAATGTTTTAAATTACTATTATCGCTCCGAAAACTCGTAACCTCCAATATTTAGATGAGTAAAAATCAACCACATGTTTTGATATAAATGTTCTTCAGATCGTGAAACGTTAGAGTGGGAGATCTGTGTCCATCGTGCTGTGCTCATGTGTGACCCCCACTGTGAGGAAGGAAGCCAGGATTACGTATCAATCACACAAAAACAAGTATGTTCAAAATTGTCTTTAATTTAGAACATTCCAGTTCCCTTACCAAAAAACATTTTTCACGGATTCACGTAACTTGTTTTTGTTTACAATTCATCTAGTATATCTTTATAAACGTGCTTGAAAAATGAAGTATTTCTTTAAATGTTAATATTTCGTCTAAAGTGTTATAAATATTTGTATATATATATATATAATTCTATAGAGTCGTCTTGCTTGGCTTGGAGTCGTAGCTTTGAGATTGGTATTACGCCAACCCTCGCCTCAGTGGAGAAAATTTGGGATAGAGAATTTGAGAATCTACAGAGAAGCTCCAGTAACTATATCTCTTTATAAAGTTCCTGTAGAGTTCTAAGATACTGTCTATAAAATCTGAATAACACAGTTTAGTTTTGGAGTTGAGACATTTTTTTAGTAATTTATACCTATTGGAAACGACACATGAAACGAATAACCTGCTCTTTATTTTCAATAAATATAAGTCTGTCCTCAACAGAATTACGTTGTATAGTCACAAGAACTGCTTTTTCTTCATTCAGTGTTTGGTTTAAGAATGAGAGAGAAATTTATGTGTGAAGTTTAAAAAAAAACTGACGTTTCGTGCCAGTTTTTTGTTCCTTCGTGGAAAAAAAAATATTTTTTGTAATGAAATCATTTACATCCGATCACATTGAGCCCATATTTTATGACATCATAAAAAATCAAAATAATAAAAGATCTTTATATATATTTTTTCCTCTTTCTCTTGAGGGAAGTAATGCTCGAATGACAATTCCAAGAACTCTGATTGGTGATAGACCTGTACGGGAAGTTGGCCATATGGATAAGGTATGATATAGCTTTAACATTGTTTCCTGTCATATCTGAACAAGATGGTATACACAGTAACTTCTGTTAGTTTTTACTTCCTGCAAAACGCACAAACAGCAAAATGTTCAATGAGTGAATAAAATACTAGGATAAGAATATTCTATTGTTGTACTTTATAGTGAACTTTGAATCTAACTGTTTGTTTGTTTGGAATAAAGCACAGAGTTACACAATGGGCTATCTGTGATCTGCCCACCACGGGTATCGAAACCCGGATTCTAGCGTTGTAAGTCCGCTAGACATACCGCTGTGCCACTGGGGGGGGGGGGCGAATCTAACTGCATTGGTCTGACAATATTTCCACATCATCATTATTATATTATTCGAGGTAATAGCTAATTATATTTTCATTTCTAAGGTGAATATTATTTACTTCTTAATTGAAACAGTTATCTAGAATTGGAAATTACTTCCTTTATATTTAGACACCCTATTTCTTAAAATACAGCGCACATACCTCATTTTCAATTAAACGTCCGTATACCAAGCAGTTTCCACCTTGGTTATATCAACTGGGGTGCGTATACGCCCTAACCTAAAAACAATAAAATGTAAAACGCGTGAGATTGGAAGGATAGGGATTTGTGGCTACAAAGGGTTATAACTATAAGGAAAGCACTGGCTCATCCTGTGTTGAGTAATATAGATTTGAAGTGTAGTTGGGTAGAAATGCATCCAAGGTGGTATACTTAGGGTTAAGCTCTTGTAGTTAACCCGAGTACGATATTTACGTGATTTACTAGCTAGTTTTGGCTCCTTTGGAATTTTCCGAGTTTTTGAAAGCGCATAAAAATTTATTGTTACGACAATATTTTCATTACACGTGTTCCACCCGTCACACTGTGTCGCATATAGTAAAAGGTATTTCTTAAAATAGAATACTGTAGCTCATTTGGGAGCATTTATTATTATTTTTAACATAGGTCTGTAGTAACAGAGAAACATTTATGTGATCAGTAGCTTATACAGGACACAGAGAAAAGTATTATTGACATTTTGTAAAAAAAACTTCGTCACGACTATTCTGCACGTTGTCGGTATTTACTTTACATTTTTTTTAAGGAGTTTATGAGGGTAGTCCTAGTGTCGTTTAAAAATAAAAAATGAAAAAAGAAGCAAGTGCTTAAGATTTTATAAAACCTATCTATGTACAATACGTGGTGCTGTATGATTGTACATTTACAAGTTATACCACGGCAAGAGTTACATCGTATATAGTGAAGTTTGTTAGATAGAAATCAAGAAAAGACAAAATGATGCATTTCCAAATGTAAAGTCAAGTGTATTCTCAATACTTTATTTTGGCTGGAAGTTTGTGAACATTCGTGAATTTCGAATACTTTTTTATTATTTCCTTAACATTACCAATAAATGGGCCAGTTTAGGGAGTCAGAAGATTCTCTTTAATAACCACAGGTTTAAGTATAGTTGCTGTATTAAAAAAGAAAAACAAACAACATATAAATTACTAATATTCCATCCGAATCAGTTATAATTCGAGCATTGCCTGAAGTAGGCCTAATACTGAAAAGTTGCAAAATAAATTCATTTAATAAGAGTGTGGAAAACATTTTCTCTATTAATTAAAATGGTCACTTATTTACATATATGTGAGTTCGGAACCCGTTGCTGTCCTAAACTCTTCGCCTTTCACCAGTTCTTTTTCTCACTTCCGCTCAGAATATCGAAGACCTTTCTTCGAAACGTGTCCCATGACTTTAAGTTATTTAAAAATCTCGAGAGCTCTTACATACTCATCCAGCCATCGTATCAAATTTTGAAGATATTTCACAACCCGATTAGCACAGCTTTTTATTCTTTTTTTGCGAGATGGACATTTGTCTATCACGTGGCTGTAGTTCTGTGTGATTGTCTGTTGCAGAAAGTTTTACCTAATTTCAAATTATTAGGGTGATATTATAAGGAATATTTTACATGACATTAATGATAATTTCATGATATTTATTTGTGTTGTTTGTTTGAAGTTAAGCACGAAGCTACACAATGGGTTATCTGTGCTCTGCCCACCACGGGTATCGAAACCCGGTTTCTAGCTTTGTAAGTCCGCATTTCCCACTTAAATTTAAAAACTAGTTTTTAAAAATATGATGAAAACTTCAAGAATACTATCGTTTGTTGAAAGTTGAAATTAATTAACGACCAATAGCATTTCTAAGGATTCTTGAGAAAAGAAAAAAAAATCATTTGTTATAACTATCTTACAGACCGATTCCAGTTTCTTACCTGCAGCTGCTCACTTACAAAACTTGTGGGCTATTGGAGAGCTTTCGAGAGCGAGCCAGACAGACCAGCAGGTCGGCCGATTTGAGGTGAGTTTCGTTTTCGTTTCTATCAAATTATAATTATAGATCATTAACTATAGCTTGTTGTCACTGAGAAAATATCCAGGAAGGAGATTAAAAAAGAATTTGCTTTTCCTGAAGATTTTTATAATCACTATCAGTTAGGTTTTTCGCATCAAATAGATGTCGCTACCATTTGATCAGCACGCACTACGAGAAAGCTTAAACATGCTGTGTTAGAATAACAAAAAAAAACCTGAACACCAACAAGGAAGTAGAAAATACAATACATAAAAGTATTGTAATGTATGGCAGTAATAAAATGAATAAAGGTAATTGAAAAGGTTGAATCTAATAGCTTTATAGAGAGTTTGATTACAAGTGGTTCAGTCTAACAGCTCTGTGTAAGGATTGTTTTGAAATAGTAGAGGCTAACAATCTTGTATGCATTGCATTAATCAAAGAAATTTCTCTTTTAAGATTAGAATTATTTTTTTAAAAATAAGTTAACTTTTCTTCAGTGTTAACTTGTATTACCAGCTACGATGTTTCATTAGATTTATGGTCTGAAGTTATTTGAGCTACACACTTCCCATCTGCATAATTAAATAACATACAAGGTTTGAGTGTAGTTGTTGTATTAAAAAAACAAAAAAGCATGTAAATGACTAATATTCCATCCAAGTCAGTTGTGTAGTTCGTGCATTGCTTGAAGTAGGCCTAAGGCTGAAAAGTTGCAAAATAAATTCATTTAGTAAGAGTGTGGAAAGCTTTTTTTTTTTCAATTAATTAAGGTGGTCACTTGCTGCTTATTTTAAAATATTGTATGCACTTTGAATATAAATATTTGAACCTAACAGCCCTGTATACTGGCTGCTTAGAAAGGGTGTAGGCTAATAACCTTATATACAGTTTGATTAGAAATACTTGAGTCTAACTGTTCTTTTACTGGCTGCTTAGAAAGACTATAGGCTAATAACATCATATACAGTTTGATTAGAAATACTTGAGTCTAACTGTTCTTTTTACTGGCTTCTTAGAAAAACTATAGGCTAATAACATCATATACAGTTTGATTAGAAATACTTGAGTCTAATAGTTCTGTTTACTGACTGCCTAGAAAGCGTATAAGCTAATAACCTCAAATACAGTTTGATTAGAAATACTTGAGTCTAACTGTTCTGTTTACTGGCTGCTTAGAAAGAGTATAGGCTAATAACCTCAAATACAGTTTGATTAGAAATAGTTGAGTCTAACAGTTCTGTTTACTGGCTTCTTAGAAAGACTATAGGCTACTAACATCATATACAGTTTGATTAGAAACACTTGAGTCCAACAGTTCTGTCCTGGTTATTTAGAAAGTATATAGAATCTAGCAATCTTATATAGAGTTTGGTTTTCTAACAACCAGGTGTACAGAGGCAAGGTTTTGTTGTCTTTTATTTTTTCTTTCGCAGTCCTAGCAATACAACAAATTTACTTAATTGTTTACAACACAGTTAACAATTGTTTTACATTTTTTCTATCAAAAGAGAATAAATAATGTAAACCGTTTCGTCTAGGTATTACGAGCTACGATTTTTAATTAAATTTATGGTCTGAGGTATTTGAACTTAACACCTTTCATCTAGAGAATTAAATTATAGTTAATGCATTTAAAATAACAAAGCACGTGTAAGTTACATCGTTTCAATGACTGCCGGAAAGAAGATAGAAAGTTTTAAACAAAAACAATTTAGGAACAAAATTGTATGCCAAGCAAATGTCTATAGATGCATATACATTTAATTTTCCACAACTCTAACCCATGTAGCCCCCCAGTGGCACAGCTGTATGTCTGCGGACTTACAACGCTAGAAACCGGGTTTCGATACCCGTGGTGGGCAGAGCACAGATAGCCCTTGTGTAGCTTTGTGCATAATTAAAAACAAACACAAACTAACCCATGTAACTAGCTAAAAACTAGGTCTTCATTTTGTCTGATATGTTGATCATAAAACAACTTAAACTTTTTATTGTGTTCGAGTTAATTTCTCAGAATTTGCGTATGATTGTTGTATAATAATAGTAACAATAAAACTTGTTTCAGTAACACTTGACCTAATAAATGGGACTGTTTGCTGAAACTCATCTAGTTTTTTGTTTGTCTTTGAAACTACATCAACAAGAAAGTGAACCCCTTATAACCTAACGTTTTGGTTGGTTATTTCTTAGCTGAAAAAAGACCAATCTGTGGATGACTCATTTTTGAAACACGTACATATATAAGTTATTTGAATTAGCATTTATTATGTGGTCAGCTAACCGAAATAATTTGTTTGATATGCATTAATAAGATATACCTTTGTTCAAAACAATAGGGAAATGTAATATCAAAATAAATGTGAAAAGCCAAACGAAACAGACATTTGATGTTCAAGATATTTGCGCACGAGAAGTAGGCTTGTTAACCATTATAGAGACGTAAATTAATTTTACAGTTGTACGTGACATCGTCCTTACTTAGATATTAAGTTATAACTTTAATCAGGTTAGGTAACAACTTGTTCATTATTACTCATGTTGTTAATATGAATACGTCACACGTCAAGATTCGCTTGGGAAAGCAAGTCTCGGTTATTGTTATTTTCTACTGTAAACGTTCCTAATTATTGTTGTTGAAAAATACTTTTAAGAGCAACATTTCTGATTTATTTATTTTCTAGGACAAGACGCAAATGTCTCTTTCGTAGTAACAAAAATAAATAGATATATTATGTAATTAATAAAGAGAAAGTAAATTTTTCGTGTCTTAAGTTTAAATTAGTTAACACTTTTAACGACTGCTTTTTATTTATATTTGAATTTATAAAGAACAAGTCAAAGTCAAGAAGTCAAGTATTCTATATATACATATATATATGTATGATATAGTTATGTAATAGTATGAGTAAGATATAAGTAAAAAAGAATTAATTATGTAGAGATACACGATAAAGCTTCTCATCAAAAAAATAAGCTATTCTACTGGTCGCGGGGTCGAATCCCATCACAGAACATGCTTTCCCTTTCAGCCATAGGGACGTTATAATGTGACGGTCAATTCTACTATTCAATTAGAGAAACCCAATAGTTGTTGGTGCTGACTAGTTGCCTTCCCTCTAGTCTATTACTTCAAAATTAAGGACGGCTAGCATGGATAGGCCTCCAGTAGCTTTGCACAAAATTCAACAAACAATGAGACAAACACAAATCTGATTAGACAACTAACCGTCAATGTGTAAACTAAAAGTAACCGATAATGTGTTGGTCTGTGGAATGTTATCCTTCCAAAACGTTTAGCAATACCTAAAAGTAGTAACTTGAAAAAGTTTTCATAAACTTAGTTTTCCCCCTGAAAAATTAGCAATTGTGTTCCTGTATGTATGAGTGTGTGTGTGGGGGAGGGGGTATATACATGTATAAGAGCTTGCTAATATGTTATTATTGTTACTTGATTTATATGTTAACACTGATCCTTTAACATTGTTCAGTAATATGTCAAGGTACACCAGAAAACTTCTCCATAGTTTACAATATTACACGTGTTTTAAGATCGCAGAAGTCCATTTCTAGATCAATTATTAGAATTATCAAGTGAACCACCTTAAAACAAAGACTGTCAAAGTGAAACGATACACGTAGCAAGTGAACCACCTTAAAACAAAGACTGTCAAAGTGAAACGATACACGTAGCAAGTGAACCACCTTAAAACAAAGACTGTCAAAGTGACAAGATTCACGTAGCAAGTGAACCACCTTAAAACAAAGACTGTCAAAGTGAAACCCTACACGTAGCAAGTGAATCACCTTAATACAAAGACTGTCAAAGTGAAACGATACACGTAGCATGTGAACCACCTTAAAACAAAGACTGTCAAAGTAAACGATATACGTAGCAAGTGAACCACCTTAAAACAAAGACTGTCAAAGTGACAAGATTCACGTAGCAAGTGAACCACCTTAAAACAAAGACTGTCAAAGTGAAACGATACACGTAGCAAGTCAATCACCTTAATACAAAGACTGTCAAAGTGAAACGATACACGTAGCATGTGAACCACCTTAAAACAAAGACTGCCAAAGTGAAAAGATACACGTAGCAAGTGAACCACCTTAAAACAAAGACTGTCAAAGTGAAAAGATACACGCTGAGCTTAATAGGCAAAAAATATATATATCAGGAAAATCAATGTGTTCGCCCGGAATTAACCGTATTGAAATACAATATTTTTAAAATTAAATCTAAGTTTTTAAGTTATTCTATCCTGACGACTTATATTGTTTACGCCAGAAAAGCTTATCGCTGATCCATCGGGGATTGGAGGGGAGAGGCTTTGAAGATTTTAAACTAAACTATTGATGTATTAATTTATTAGTTAATTTAATCATAACCACACGTTCTTTTAAGATATAAAGGCTGTTATAAAACATAAAAATTACATACGAAAAAAAAAAAGTTTGGCGCAAAATGAAAGTGCTATTTTTAAGTTGTAGACTTTCAGTAAGGTTTGGCATCAGGTAAAATGCACAGCAAGTCAGATGCAAAACACTCCATGTATTAAAACCTACAGAAGTGGAGAGATCTAGCGTGTTGGTTCGTATTCTTTATAGAAAACGTTTCAGTATATAAGACAGCTTGCAAATATAGGAGGATCCTTATACTGCAATATAAAACTCTTCTTAGTATATTTACGGGAGTCATTTCTCATCAACTCAGAATCTAAGTAAATAAGAAAATATACAATAAATGTTTATATATATATATATATATATATTCGTTGAAAATTGATAATGCTATGTTTTTAGTTAGTTTAATTTTTAAAAATTTTATTAATTGTTTGAAAAATTATCTAGACGCAGTATTACTTCAAACGCTCAACTTCATCAATAATAACAGTAAAAAAAGACGGGTATGTGAAAATAAATTTAGTCAATCCCACTATTCGTTGGTAAAAGAGTAGCTCAAGAGTTGGCGGTTGACTAGCTTCCTTCCCTCTAGTCTTACA